GTTAAACAGTTTTTTGTGAAAATTTAATTTTTCACATATTGGCATTTTCAAGGTGTGACTTTAAAGTTCCATGATCTTGAAGACTTTTGCTTGTCACATTTTCTGAATGTCCATGTTACTAATATTTTATTAATAACATTTGATTGTCATTATGCTGTTAAACATTATTTAATGTTGTATCAAAATTTGAAGAAATCCCTATTTTGGGCACTGCTCCTATGATGACCATTTAAGGTAAATCATGTCACTTACTGTTCTCAAACTTATAGGAAAGAAACATTGGACTAAAATACAGCTTCAATAGGCAGTCTGTTTGGTAAATTTTTCTGGCAATTTAACAGTTTTTTGTGAAAATTTAATTTTTCACTTATTTGCATCTTTATTTTCTGTTCTTTGTCTGTACATTTGACAGCTTTGCTGCCTTGTCTTTCTTTTTTATTATTTTGAATTTTGTGCAGGCTCGAGGTTTTGGTCTAGAGTGTGCACAGACATGTGACTGTAATTGGAACAATGCAGTAGGGTGTGACCCAGTGACTGGAGACTGCATTTGTAAGACTGGCATGGAAGGTAAGCCTGGCCCTGCCATCTTGGAAATCCCTTATGGAGAAGTAAATCATGTTGCATATGGCAGTGCTTTATTAGGTGAACTGATCCACCCAGTCAAGTTAAAGTAGTGAAGCAGTTGTATGTAGTATAGATAAATGAGTCTGATTCAGGTGATTGTGTAGTTTTCCAGGTAGTTGATTTATTTTTATTATTTTGCTTTTACACCTTTTGCACAGCTTTTCACCCCGAAACACTGTACACCACTTGTTTCAGACTAGGGTAGCTCTAGCCATCTCTGCTTTTCTCTCTGAAACAAAATAAATCTGATGGTTAGTTATCCTGTGTATTGTATCAGAAATGACACATGTAAAATCACTGCTTACAAATTTTCTTAAACGTTATGTATTTCAGAATCTGTTATAGGTGAGTTATATATATTGTTCCTGTATCTTTGCATGTTGCTGGTGGTGACTGTCCTTAAATAAAACTACAGCTGCTTTGTAAAAGATTGCTAAAAAGTATGATTATGTTGTATTTTTCTTTTGTTTTTCTGAAAAGGAATTAACCTATGCATTCTTTACTAACTACTTTTCATCGCTCTTGCTTTGGTTAAGTTATTAGATTCTTACGCACAAACAAGGTTGTGGGTTCTTTTTAAACAAAATATTTTAACCTACAAGTAAAGCAGCAAAAAAACTTACCTTAAAAACATAATTAATGAAGAACTTTTAAATAACAATTTTTCCTTCTTATCGTTTTATTTGTTTTGAGTGTTATGATTGATCAAGTACATTGTATGGAGTGTAACCAAATGGAAAAGTAATCCAGCAAAGAATTTATCAGCTGTGTTATCCATTTTGAAGTTACAATAATAGTTTCTTCGAGCAATAATTGTAATGCAATTGTTGGATTGCAAATGGCAGAACAGAATAAAAAAAGACTGTTGTTTGAAGAAACTATTATTGTCTCTATGAAGAGATAAATAATTTATTCACCATGGCAGAATTTCATGCTGTTGGTCTACTGTAGGAGTACGATGTGACAGCTCGTGTCCAAGTGGCAAATGGGGCCCTAACTGCCAGAACAGTTGTGACTGTCAGAATGCAGGATCATGTGACCCACAAAATGGCTCCTGTCAGTGTAAGCCAGGCTGGACTGGGGCAGATTGTTCTCAGAGTATGTATATGTATATGTATGGTAAATATTGTAGGTTACTTTTACAAACTTCCATTTCATGTAGAAATTTTTGACAAAATAATAATAATAATTTAAATAGAAAATAATGATTACTGTAAAGTTTTTATTGGTTTGTTATAGATTCCTTTATTGCTTGATAAGCAAGTAGTACAGTGTGTGTGATATATTTGTAGCCAACAGTCACACTCGATAACTAAGCTGTGCCTCATAGGTGAAGACATACAGGGTCTCTTTAGAAAAGACTAACTTTTTTACAAAGAAAAATTTTAAAATATAATTTCAGCTTGCCCTCCCAAGTTCTATGGCCTGAACTGTGCCTCACCTTGCCCTGGCCTCACACAGTGTCCCCACAGTAATGGTACCTGTGATCCTGTCACAGGGGAGTGTATTTGTACAGCTGGATACCAGGGTATTAACTGTGATACTTGTAAGTACTGGTTTATATATATATACCCTGTAGAATGATATTTAGGCTGATTCCCTGTAGAATTGAGTAAATGCATGTATTTAATCTATAAAGGTGCCATTCTCTCAGTCTAAGTTAATACATACTTAAACATAAATACATCAATAGATACATATCTAAACAAAAAAAAAGAAAATTGATTTTCATTTACATACATATTAATTACATATATTTTTACACAATTCTTTGCATTCAGCCTGCCCTCCCACAAAGTATGGCATTGGATGTACTGAGGAATGTTCTTGTGAAAATGGTGCTCCTTGTAACCCAGTGAATGGTGAATGTCTGTGTCTACCAGGCTGGGTGGGAACCAACTGCATTCAGCGTAAGTCCACAGAATTCCTTGTGGTGGGTGGGGCTTGGATAGTTGTGGGGTTTGGATTAGTCACCCAACCCCCATAAGTGATAAAAGCAAGAGGGGTTAGGAGTATTTCCAGAATGTTTATATTCAAGAAGAAATGTTGTATGGCAATAGGAAACTTCTATATGAGGATTATATGTATAATTCAAATATTTTTTGATGCCAGTTAATGAAATATTTTACCTCTTTCCTAGGTTGTTCTATGGGGAAATATGGCCTTGGTTGCACGAGTGAGTGCATGTGTGTGAATGGTGCCAAATGCCATGCCATTGATGGGTTCTGTGAATGTCAGCCGGGGTATATTGGGCCTACTTGCTCAGAAGGTAATGTACATGTTATAAATGTATCTACCTATCTAGGTAGGTGGATAGATGGATGGAGAGGCGAATGGATAGACAGGCAGGCAGACAGACACACAGATAGTTGGACTAATGGAATATGAAATCTGCTGTCCAATGCATGAATTGTATTTTAAAGGAATATAATTTATTGCATTGTCAGGGAATTCGAGTCAGTGTTTTATCTTAATGTCTTTACTGATTTATCTATTTATTATCTTTAATGATGCTTCTCTATGATTTTTTTTTTGCACTGGTGATCTTTGTCTTTGAGGTTTCAAGTCATTGTTGACATTTGATTCAGAGATAGTAGACTATTTATATTGAATTATCTGTGCCATGTGACCTTTGGACACAGTTTTCTAAAGCTGAGATTTATCTATTTTCATTTTATTTTTCTTTATTACATTCATGTATTTTACATGTTTTAGTCATTAATGTACCAAGAGTCCATGGAATTCAGCATTGAAACATATAATTGACTGATGTGTGTGTTAAATTGTTCGTGGAACATTATACCTATGATGATTTCTTATATTTTACAGTGTGCCCTAGAGGGGTGTATGGAATTCACTGTAGTCAGACGTGTGACTGCCAGGTGCCTAATACAATAGACTCCTCCACCTGTGAACCCATCAGTGGAAAATGCTACTGTAAACAAGGTTATGGCGGAGATAGATGTGATGCAGGTTAGCAGGATTTGTTTTTTTTTATAATAAATGGCCATGCTTTCTTATAGAAGTATCCAATTCCATGTAAATTAAGGATGGCAATATTACCTGTAATTTAAGTTTTGAGTCACATACGCAGCACAGATATCAATATCAATCTATATTTCAAAATTTTAAAAGAAAAGCTTTTGAATATTGCCTTTTTTATACCAAATAAATTTTTGGTAACAAGAAAGGCCAAATGATAAGGCATTCTAAGGAGGGTTTATCAAGTTTTTATGTATATTTTTCAGTGATCCTAGCCTCATTGCAAAGTAGTGAAAATGACCAATCTGGTGCCAGTGGATCAGCTGCAATGGTGGGACTTGGAGTAGGACTGATATTACTGATCCTTCTCATTGCCGTGCTCATCTTGGTACTATATTATCGAAGAAAAGTTCAAAGACTGAAGCAAAGACGGGAAGACAGTGTTATATACACAGCTGCATCTCTACCAGATGGCGATGTTACCTGTAATTTAACTTTTTAACCACATAAGTAGCACAGTTATCAGTATCAATCTATATTTCAAATTTTTAATAGAAAAGCTTTTGAATATTGCTTTTTTTATACCAAATAAAATATTTGTAACGAGAAAGGCCAAGAAAGGAGAAGATGGTTTTCTTTCTTTTTTTTAAACACTGTAATCATTTGCAATCAATGTAAATGTTTTACATGAAAACTGTAACAAAGTTATTTCAATATTGTTATTTATTTATTTATTTATTTATTTATTTCAGCTTCAAACTTTGAGAATCCCATGTACCAGACTGCCCCCGCCTTACCTCAGAGACAGATCTCTATGAACAACGCAGTGCAAAATGGCTCAGCTGTACGAGTACAAAATGAGATATTTACCAAGAATTCAGTGAATTTAGACAGGGAGAAGCTAGGAGATTGTGCTGGGGCCTGTGGCGGAGCAGTAGACAATCAGTATGAAGAACCAGTGTCACTGAGAAGAAAGGGGAATGTTAATCAAACAGGTGATTGTTATTTATTTTATCATTGCTTCTCTTACCTTACAGAATTATTTTGTCAGTTTCTTCCTTCTTGGTTGAGTGTCTATAGTATTCGTATTGTAGCAGAATGGGTGTGGATTCATTTTCAACATAAATTGTGATTGAGTTACTGGTTGTGTACCATCATAATTTTTAGTGGTATGCGATTAATATAAGTAAAAAGGTTATGACAGTTGGGAAATATTTTTAAACTGGTGGGATATTAAGTGTGTTTTCCTACATGACATTTTAATTTAACCAGCACATCTGTGGTCTCTTCTTCTCTTTGTCACATTTTCTCTCCTTTTAGGGCCATGCATCATAATATTTTCCCACTGACCTAATTTTAGAAAATTACAGGTTACAGCCATGGAGATTTTGAAAGTGCCTGGAGTTAATTTTTGATCAACATGAGCAAAACATTCTTGAAATTTTTGACAAGAAAATGATCAGTATCAGTATTCTTCTGCCTTCTTCAGCATACCACCGTTATGAAGGACCCAAAATTGCAGAAAAGCAACCTCTTTTATGTTGGTCCAATTTAGGTAACGTCCAGTGGTAGAGATCTGAGTGCTTCTCCTGCATAGCTTGCTAGCATTGCTTGTGGATCTTCAACTGCTCCTTGTTTTATTTGGTCAACATTTCAGACCAAAGTGCCTTAAATTTTTCGACTTGAATTAGCTTAGATGCATGCATTGTTAATATTTTATTGGCAGAAGTTCTGAATGTCCAATTATACTTTTTTAAAGGAAATGACAAAATTTGATTATGTTTTTTTCTTTATTTTACATATTTCATCATAATTATAAACAATGTTGGCATTGGAAATTTTATGTTCTTTTCACAATTATTGCACAACAGTATCACAAGTAATTTCACTAGTGTTTTGCAAACATTAACGAATTATTATCCAAGAGTTTCATATCTAATTATTTTCACGCCCTCATGTACTTATAACAAATTCTATGTCAAATTGTTACATGTAGTTATTACTTCCAACCAACCGCTTGCTTTCACTGAGGCTGTTTTATGTTTAAACTAACTGGGATATTTCTAAATCTAAAATTTCAGCATATCTTTTGTGCTTAGGTGATGATGGTATTTCTTAATTTAAGTAAAAATGATGGCCAGACTAGATTTAAATTATATAACCATGTGCAGAGTGAAAAACAGCCTGCAACTGGTCATGATGTTTATTGTACTGTGTTTTTATTTGGGGTTCACTTTTATTGCACAATATGCAACTATTGCAGAATGTTTATGGCACATATGCCTGTATGTGATATTTTTTCATGTATATGTAAATATGCACAAAATAATATCTTTAGGTTGATCTCTAGAACTATTGTACATGTAGATTTTATATGTGTTTTTTGTTTATTTTAAGTTAAAATGGAATAAAATGCATGTTATACCTTTACATGACAAAAGTCCTAGAAATTTCAATTTTTCCTGCTATCACCCAGGTTCACCCTATTAATAAGCATTGAGAACATAATTGTATGTATGTGGAATTTTAATGTTGAAAGAATGCACATTCCATTTTGCCTGAATTGATGTCTGTTAGTTGTTTCCCGTATAGTTACATTGATTCAGTCTATGTTTTTTTTTCACAAATAATTATATTCTGATGTAGTCTAACATAGTATGTATAACATATCTAATTTTATGTCATTATGTAACGCACATTGATTAGAGGAGTTTACTTTTTGGGTGTTCTGTATGATGATATTTTAACAGTAATGACCTTCTCTGTTTACCATTTGGTATGTCTTGTTACATATATACATACAGAACAACAGTAGATGCCAAAGTGTGTCAATGCCTTTATCTTTAATAGTTGTGTTTAGGTTAAAAATGATTGCAAGTAACTTTCTTGTACAAGGTCTATAGCATATTCTACCAGTGACTCAGAGTGTTGAATTAAAACAAAAATTTTAATTCGTTTTGTGTTTGACATGAGTATTTACATGGATGTACAATTTTATATTAAAATATGTAAAGTTCCACTTGTATTGATTGCTATTACCAAAATATGTGTATTTTTCTTAAGATGTACACTGAGATTTCTCAGTGTCTTTGGTATCATCAAATAGAACTAATGTCTGTGAAATATCTATTTATTTATATAAATAGATAAATAATTTATAAATACATTTAAATATCATTTTTGATATTTTTCCTTTTAATTCCAGATGAAAATGACACACCAGTCAAATTGATGGAAAAGAAACTGAACATTGATCCATATCCGGAGGACACAGAGGATAATGATAACCGCTTGAACCATCAATACTCACAGATTGGCTTCAGGCCTGAGAGCAGTGCTTGTAAGTGGGCACAGAGGAACATTTCTTAATCGATTTATTTTGATGCAATTACATTTTTGAGATGACGATAACCTAACAATATACAATAAACAATGTATATATATGTATGTAAAATAATTATGATAATGAAAAAAGTGTATTGCACTTGATCCCCCCTTCCCTTTTACTGTACCAAAAACAGAACCAAATAGACAATAAGTAAAAGTCCTATTTCTTTTCGTGTACTGTCTCCCCCTCTCTATAATCTGCAGGTCTCACAACTGAACAAAAAAGTAAAGTGAGACCCATGATTTTTGCAATGAAGTTTGGTCTGATAATGCAATTACAAAATGCTATTATTTTGATTATTTTTGTCAGCTTGGGATTATTTACAGTGTCTTATCAATCTCTCCCTTATGATTATGACAATAATGTTGAAGTCATTAAAATGTTTTTTTTTCTTGTCAAAGCTCACTAATTTGTGCAGTTTTATACAAAAGATAAATCATATAGCCTTTTTTTCATCCAGATTTATCTCATTTTTAGCCATTGACGATCATGTGTATGCTGACCCTTTTGAACTCGACTATCATCAAAATCTGAATGAGAGAGCTGAAAATATGTACAGCAACATTCCCTCTGATCAACCCAACACTTTTGCCAACAATGGAGACATCGAAGAAAGTACAAATGCATAGATCAGCTAAACAAACAATATTTTCCAGTATTTTCATTCCTTTTTATTGTGTCGAAGTCTGGCAGTTTGATCTAGAAGGATCAATTTGCTGCTTTTCATTTAATATATCAGCAGTGGACAAATGACTTGGGTGTTTCTAAAAGTACATCTTAATGTACATTGGTAACAAATACTTTTTATACTGAGTACAAAGTACAACCCCTGTGAAGGAAATTATTCTGAAATCTTTTTGAAAAGTTTATAGGCATTTTTCCACATTGAGAAATGTGACCTGCTGTGTTCATCAAACACTTAAATCTGTGCTGCCTAATTTCAAAGTTTTTTTATTTTTTTATTTTTAATTTCAAAGTCACACTTACTGTGATCAAGAAGTCATTTTGAGTTCATGATAACCACATTCACAGCATATCTTAAGGGCAATATATAAGGCAAAGTCTTCCAGTATTATAACTAGAAAATAGTTTTATATATCCTCTTCTATGGTTTTGAAGCAGTATTGTATTTTTTATAGAATTTTGAATTTCACCTTTGTGGCTAGGAAATGTACAAACAGGAACTAACTGCTCTTAACTGTATGATCATTTCCCATACAAGAGCCATTTTGTTTTTATGCATTTTTTATTGGAGAAAATATTTGCTAAAAAGCCATTCTAAAATATTTTGCCGTGGAAAGAAGTACACATATCATATGTCATTTAGGGTAATTTTATGCATTATTCGAATGTATTGTGCATCTTCCCTTACTAGAAGTTTGTACTCATTTCGTACTTGCAACTGTATTGTTTATTGTTATCAATTCAAATGGAGTGGCTTGAAAAAGAGTACTTAATAAAACGAAAGTCTCATTGGAAGACACAAGATGGTGCAATATGTTTCTGAAAGCTACATTGTTTGTGATAAAGATTTTCTGGCTCATCTCTATAGAAAGCTAACATGTCTGTATATTTTGAAGATGTTGGTGCTCTTTTTGATACCTAGTAATTAATTAAAATGGTGTACTTTTAAAAATGCATGGTAGTTCAAGTGTAAGATAATAATTGAATTTGCATTGTGAGCCAGAGGCTTGCGCTTTTTATTTGGGCTTGAAGTATGGATTTTGGGAAGTTGAGCAGTGTCACTTGAGCGAATGTCTGCAACCTGAATAGTGGCAATATTCTGAGTAATCTTGTGGTAGCATATCAACACAGTCTCATTTGTTTACACATACATTGAATGAGAAAATAAGTCGACTTATCAAACAGCTTAATGTTTAGAGACTTAAGGCCATTTTACTACTTATTTAGAAAAATGCTCTACAATTTTAGCATTGAATATTATTTGTATTATATTTAATCACTAGCACCTGGACATAACAACGACTGGCCATTTTCATTTTTTGTCAATGCCTGGTTTCAATAAAAGAAAATATTTTGGAGACCTGTTGTCAGTTATTTCATTTTATCACATTTCATAATGTCTGTGAAATTTGGGCATCCTTATTTTAAAGGCAGAGAGGGAATGTCTGAAACCAATGATTACTTTACACAGGGATTATCTTTCAAACTTCAGCCATGAATATTTTGGAGCATTTCAGCATCAGTCATGGAATAGCCTGATTTGGATGCCCATCATTATTATTAAGCATTATTGAAATTGGAGGAAAGATATATTTTATTTTACAAGAAAGTTGAAGAACTCTCTACATTATAAATTGTGTTGTTTTCAACACAGATTCCACATCTTTATAGTCTTAAGTAGACTGAAATTCTTTCAATTTCTTTTTATTGCAATCATCAGACTGTCGATGCTATTCAGTAATTTATCTTTCCAAATGTACAGCTGGCCTGCGTGTCCCATTTGATTTCCTGTTTGATCTTGACATTTGAATACTTCACCAGAAATTCACTGCCTCTTTGGGTCATAACTTGTCACTACAAGAGAAAAAAGTTAAATTGTCCGATTTGTTAGGAGGCAATCAACAACTGACACTAGGCATTTTTTATAATCTAAAAATTCTAAAATTCATTTTTTAACTATCGCACCACTCATGTTTCTAAAAAAGAAAAAAAACCTGGACAAAGCATACCTCTCAAAGTTGAGCCTCCCAACAATCTCCCTCACAGTGGCAATCAATGCCTCATTCTCTTGCGGCGTATCCAGTATAATGGAGTGGAGTTTGGCCATGTATGTATCCACAGTTTCCAGGCTTGGAACCTCATTAGAGCCTGCAACAATAAAAATGTTGTCTCAGCATTGCTACAGTGCACACAAATCATAGGTATACACACAAATTCTAGGAATGTATTATTGAAAGAAATCATAATGTAAACTGAGCACACCTACATTACAACAGATGAGGTGCTTGTCTTGTATGAAATTACCCGGATATAATAGAGGGTAGCTGTCTTGCCACTTTCCAAACTCTGGCAGTGGTAAGGGTGTAAACATTTCTTCACATTTAAGAAAAAAATATATTAACAGTGTTTATTATTATAGGCATATTAGGTGACTGCCATATGCTTCCACTGAAAGGATAGACATGAAAGACAAAATCATGCCTTTGAAAATAGACATTTTATTTATATGAATAATTTTTGTATTGAAATTCACATGTGATATCTTACCTGGTAAAGGTACTGCTGCAAAATTAGTAGTAAGTATACTCCTCAGGTTCTCTAGGTGCTGTTGGAGAGCCATGTTGTTGTTCCTCTGCTGAACAGCATCTACTTCCAGTTTCTCAATCGCTTGCTTCATATTCTCTATGTGCTTACTGAGGATTGCATTTTGTTCTTCATACTCTGTGTTTTGTTTGCGCAGCTGCCTCAGTTCCACTTCCCTTGCTGAAAACACATACAATGTGAAGGTAAAATTATGATCAATGGACAGAATTAAACTTGACAATAGGTAATTGATGTGATTTCTTACATTTCTGATCTTGAGAAACGCTGTCTAGCTGGTTAGCTTTCTAAATCTAAAATTGACAATTCACGCAGATTTGTGCATGGCTGCACACTCAAACAAAATGATATTAATAATAATTAGACTAAAAATCAATCACATTGTAAATATATATTGAAATATTTCAAATGAACTTATCAAGTATATCTAATTCCCTACCTCTGTTGTGATCTAAAAATTCTTCAGTGAAAATAGGAATATCAAAGGCTGGTATATGCCCTTCATCCTTCATTATGTTTTCTGTCAGCAACTGGAAATTTCAAAAAAATTGTACCTCAGACATGAGCTTGTATTTTTATTAATGAGCCATACAAGTTAAAAGATGGAAAAACAGAATAACATAGCAAACCACAGTCAGTGTCAGTATTTCAAAGTCAAACTACATTAACTCTAAACCATAATATTAAAATGAATACTACAATATATATATATATATATATATATATATATATATATATATATATATATATATATATATATATATATATATATATATATATTTGGGAAGTTATCATAATAAAATGTATATTCACAGGCAGAAACAAAAAGTCCTGAATGTTAATTGTATGCATCAATGCAGTATACATCCTATCCTTAACTGACTCAACTGAATGCCAGGCAACGTTACAGTTCTAAAGCTTACCTCCACACCAGAGCCATTTAATGCAGAATGGTTACTATCATTTTCTTCTGCAAGTTCACCTGAAACAAAATATCATACAAAATACTGTCCTCATGAAATTTGGGTAACATGAAAGTTTGGATTTTTTCTAAGGATAATTTACTGCATAGAAACTGTTATTTTTAACTATTCTTATTTCAGCTATGAATGTTATCACCCATGTTATGCACATGAAGTTGTAATTTTTTTTTCCATATTCAGATTTTGCACTTGAATTTCAATGTTTCAGAAAGAGGTATCATTCCCTGAGGAAGGTGTCTAGTGAGACACCGAAATGTTGAAGTGCAAATAACTCTGAATTTAGCTGTTGTTTGAAGAAACTACGATTTTCTAATTCCAGTATTTGCTTGCTTACTTTTGGCTTTCTTTTCCTGCTGTTTCTTAAAGGCTTTGTACGCCTCTGTCTGGTGGTATGCCTCCAGTTCCTTCAGGTACCTTGCCTTGTCTCTCTCCGCATCATCTAGATATCTCTACAAATTGAACAAAAATTTGAAGTGATTTTTCAATCCTTAAATTTTGAACAGATCTTAAATAATAAATATTTATTCATTTGTATTGGTTGTAAAATTTTAAGTTGTCATTGAATTTTGATTTTTCTGTGTTATATTTAAAGAAAAAACATGATTGACTAGAAAAAATATATCTATACGTGATAATGATGAAAAAACAGACTACTGTTAATCTGTTAGTAAATCAATATGGTAATATCCAACAACACCTGCTTGTCATGCTGCGTCATTTTACTCCATTCATTTCCTAACATTTTGGTGATTTCTGAAAATGATAAGGTAGGATGCTCTGCCCTGAATTTGTCCCGTCTTTCGTTCAGAAATCTTATGTACCCTGTCAATGGCTGCCTTGGTGCATTCACATCTTTTAATTTCTTTCTTTTCTTGCCTTTAGGCCAGCCTCCCTTTAAGACCTTTTTCTGAAATGAAGAATAAGAGCATAAGCAGAGAACTTGACTGTTAACAGTTCAAGCACTTTTTACCAACAATTCAAAATAACATTATCCTGTGAACCATGGCTTCCATGTTCTTACTCTGGCCATTTAAAATAATTACATATATGAGTATACAACAGGTATTATTTTTTCGCATTGAGTTGAGTGAAATCATTTTTCTCAATAATGAAAATGGGATAAAAATGCCTGTCTTAGTGTTTACCTCAGGTACCTCTGTCTCCTGTAGTTCTGCCACTGGTTGGGAGTTAGAATCTTGGTCTAACAGTTGCACTAAAATTTAAAGGCTAATGTCTTATTTACTTTATCCATTTAAACAGGGCATTAAATAATCCTCCAATTACATGTATCTTAATTATCAATATATGTAAAACAGACAGACCCCATGATCAAACTAAAAAATTATAGAAGTAATCCATTCAGAATATTTTTTTAACATTATGGAAAAGAGACACTTAAATACATGCCCAAACAATGAATCTCAATTTTTATGCCAAGAGTTATTATTTACTGACCTTGTGTAATGTCTTGTGACACAAACTGTGGGTTACTGAGGGAAGACTGGGTGTGACTAGTGTTGAAGGCAGTACCGCCTGTGGATAGACTGAAAACAGACCCAGAAAGTCTCATTTCTGTCACAGTAATAGTTTTATCACTTTCAAGTTAAATAGAATATGACAGTAAATGACAACTGAGTTCAAAAGGAGGTGTTTAAACTATCAGTGAGTGCAGACAACAATATCATCTTGGCTACATGAAATTAACTTTTGAATAATATCAGCTCTATGATGTAGCATTAAAAAGTTGCAAGGTTTAATATACATCATTTACAGGAAATACTTACACAGCATCCACAGTTAAATCACTGCCTTCTTTGGATACTTCATCATCAAAGTTGTCAAAATTGTAGGCAGAAACATTAGGAAGGATACCAGAAGATGAATTTGTACCCAGATCCATGACTAGGAAGTTCACTCAGCTGCAATAGGTGCAACTATACTGCCTGAAATAAAATGATTAGATTTAAAAACATAATCTAGCAATAGCTCTTAAAGCCAAGAATGTAAGTCACACTTACTTTTTAAAAACAAGACAAAAATAATAAAAATTTCAACTCTTTTCCTTCACCACATGGCAATTTTTTTTTTTACAAAAGTTTGGAGTTTGATCCAGCTTTTGAGTGCTAAGTTTCTAATTCTTTTAGGAAATGTACCTTGGTAATAAATGGGAATATTGCTGACATTTCAATGGCTTTTTAGTTGATACATAAGATTAAAAAGACATGTCAGTATTTCAACTACTTACAGCTCAAAATGCAATTTTGATTGAGTTGCTGGTATTAATTAAGGTAGTCCAGTGTATACCACATTAATCCATGTGACATTTTTCGCTCACAGTGACATTAAGAATCTGTGTTAAGAGTGGGACGGTGGTGCAGGACTGAAGCAGTCACGTTTATGTCAACATTATCGAACATATTAATGAGCTGTCATTTGACTTTTGTCACCACTAGGGACACTGCCACATGACCTTCGGTAGCACGAAGTTACATGCTCCACGTTTTCTGTAACGTACTATACTGTGCTATAACGGATGAATGATAGACGTAACAGTACATATCAGAAAGCGTAAATATGAGTGCTAACATATGAAACTGTCACGCATTGGTGCTTTCACTCACTTCAGTTTTCATGACTAAGGTTATTTATTCTCAACAGAAGCTTGTACTGGATGTGAATTTTAACGTGCAGTACTGATAACAGATTTTTATTAATAATGTCCCCAATCGCAGGTCATCTCAACAACCATTTAACTCTCTGGCACCTTAGGTGTTATCAGACACCACACATTACCTACCGGCAAAAACCATGTGCACTTGTTTTGGTTTTCAATTCACAGTAGAGGGGTCTTACAAATGTGGTTCCAACATGGACGACAGCAAGGCCGCGTATGAATTTATAACGCAGTATGTAAAAAAAATCCAAATTTACAGCCTTAAATACATATTTTGACGCAATTTTGATGACAAAAACTGTTAGATACATTTCTTTTTGCTTAGATTATTCACAAAAATGTGAGGTGATTGATAAATGATCCACACTGTTGGACTCTTTTGTGCGTGGGCATGTGTAGTAAATTGGTTGCCAAAAATAAACATGTCAGCCTCCTTGCAGGCGGAAATTTGACCTTTCTCTTCGTTTTAACCACCCAAAGCCGGGAAGTACAAACAGTAAGTATTTTTTTCACCAATGGATTTATTGCCACTTTTATCAATGTCGTTTCACTGCCGAAAAGTGACTCATCAAAATATGAAAAGTGTACATCCAATAATTATTCTCTTAGTTTTATTACAACTTACAACAAAATGTTATTGACACTTCTGTTGGACTACTACGGTAACCTATAATTTAAATGCTGGTCCTTCTCCTTCATGGTTTTGTTTGTAAAGCACAAATAGAAAACGTGATTTATGGTAGCTGAAAGATGCTCCCATTTTTGACAATATAGATCTACTGGTACAACTTCACCTCTACTTAAGATCAAGGCCGTTTTAAAATTTATGTGTTTTTCAATTTTATATTCATCAATCAAGGTGACAACCTGAATGTTACTTTATGCAGGTATAAAGCAGCATCATTTCATCTTCACTGGCACTTAACCACTGAACAAGCTTGCTTCTCAAGGGATGTAATATTTCAGTTTTTCCTGATTTCAAGTTTTTAATTTTTGTTTTTTAACTTTTCAGGGATAATTGCACAACATCGTCAATTTTCAGCCCCCCTCCCCCCCCCCCCTACAGATCACATTACTGCTCTCACCATGATACCAAATTGCTTGTCATGGGGTTTACAAAGAGTATGTTCACAATGAATCTATTGTACTACATGTACATGTAGCTATTGCAGGGACTCCACGGGGACTCTCACTGAATGCAATCAGATTTACAGACTAACACGTGTATTCTTATAATCACCCACTTTTCTATATTTTACTCAAGGCCTGGAGGAGGCGTGTTAGACTATTAATCTTATTGCATTTAGCAAGAGTCCCCGCCCCCGTGTAGTTAGTGCGCAGTAGCTAGTACGATAGATTCTTTGTGAATGCACCATAAGACTTGAGAATCCCATGTCTCAATTTTCCCTTACTATGTTCATGCATACAGTAGATTCCCCATAACTTATTTATCACCAATCATATTAACTAGTAACTGAGTTTTTCTTTGGTAGATGTATATATGCTGAAATCAATATGAACATCTTCCAACTTGAATTTATACCTGTAACTTGTGCAAATTTTTTTTGTCCCTTAGTGTTCAAGCTATGTGGAGTGTTCTGTATATATAATACTAGTAGTTAAAAGGAAGAATGATGTTGCATAATGTCCCATGGCACTTAAGAGAAAGGAAAGTGACAATCTAATTCATCAGCCTTAGGCAAATTTATAGACCGGAAGTATGTTCCTGAATCCATATTGCCACAAAATCTAGTAGACAAAGACTTCTTTGAGCAGGATTATATAACATTTTTGGTAAATTTTTAAATTTTAAAGATTTATACATAACACATTTTAAATAAGTCATAATGGACAGCTTAAATCTACCACATTAATTACTGATTATTGATTTAGTCAGCTAATAGTTATGACATATACATCTGTTCAGAAATTGGTTTCTGTTGGGGCTCTTTGAAATGACACATAAAATCATTAAAATTTAAGATGTAAAAATAGAAATTATTAATTAGCAAGTTTAAAAAAGATGCACAGTTGAATTACAAATTAGAGTGGAAATGGGGAAAAAGGAAAGAATCTTTTAAAAAAACTCTTTCTGTTTTTAAATGTAAATTCCCTTGTTGCTTGGTAGAAAATTAGCAAACATTCTGGACATTGCTGGTTGATCCCTGTAAAATATAAATATGTCGTTCAGCATATGGAGATAAAAGCTGTCTTTATGTACTAGTAGGTTATTAACTGTGTTAGCCTGTCTCCTGTCCAGACAGTAATTTGCCAGTGATTGATTAACATATGAATCACGCAAATTGACTGCATATGTAACCTTCCTGATATACTAGATAGAACATCCTTATAATAATGATTTTCCTTGGACTTTTGAAGTTTATTAAGTTTATACTGAAATTCAATATCCCTGCAGCATATGTCCAGAAATAAGTGCCCATTGGTCTGTTTTTATGCTTAAGCCTTATAAAGCTAAAGGTACATAAAATGCTAATGACATTTATTGTCTTGTTTTTTTCTTTGATTGCTCTTGTTATTATGCCATTGATATTGAATGCCAGCTGGTTCTATCTTATCACATCAGTGATCAATTTGTTCTTAAGTAGGAGTGCTAATACCAAAGCACTTATTATCGTGAAATTTCCAATAGTATTGATTTGCTTTGTTCTACTGTTTAATATAGTGTAATAAAGCTTTTAAGGTGGTATTTTATATGAATTAATTTCTTATTATTAGTATTTGGTTGTCTGAAACCAAGTTTAAAAAAAAGATAGATAAAATGAATTAATGTTGTTTTTATGGAAGTAAAAATTTAATAACTCTTCTTCTAAATTGTGATTTTTGAATAAAAGTGAGTAGCTTTTCTTATTTGACATTTCATAACACCAGAAGATGTCTGATGGAAAAGAAAGTTAAAAGTAAAATTTCATATGGTTATATATTTATTATAACAAATCCAAAGAAAATACCATCTAAATTAAGTGTTCTTGTAGCGATACATAAATCCATTTTGCCATATTATTTGATGTCAAGATTAGAGTAGAATTAGAAAAGCATGGTGATTTTTTTCACCCCAAAGAAGAAAAAAGGCTGATTAAGACGACTATAATTTATGTTATTTTTATAAATCTATTTTATTAAAGTGTGGGTGCCAGCATTGAATGGCAGTCAATACTTTGACTCACAACTGAAAAAGTATCGACATGTGGTTCAGCTGACTTGCGCTAGTAATAGCAAAGTGGTTGCCATTGATCCAGTGACTCATTCTTCATCAACATATGTTTGGGCTCTATTGAATATTCATTTATCATGAGTTTAGTGGGGACTGGGGACAACATTATGGGTTAGCTGCAGTTGTGTTGTATTGAAAGGCTTCTTATATAGATTAGCAGGCTATTAAGATACCTTGGAAAGGTAGGTTGATGAAGGAAAATTTTTATATAAAAGTAGTAGATGTTGAACATAACTGACATAGAATGTTGGTTTGAAGAGAAGTATAAGTCTTAAGAGGTGATGTGGCAAAGCATAAAGAATGACAAATGGCATGCATTTGAATTTTGAACACACATACCTGAAAAAGAATGACGTCATAATCCCTTTGTTTCTTTTAAGTGTCTTAATCATACGATAATAATGTAATTTTACATTCATTGTCTCAAGGATTATTGAAAACCATAGTCATTAGTGGTTTATCATGATATAAGATATAGGAGTACTCGAAACCATCAGTATTTTGAAAAATAATTTTGTCGTCTATGCATTTATGAGTGATGCATTAAGAGTTTTAGGCTCACCAGGGTCTTCTATAGTTTTACACATTTGTTGTGATATATCGCACTTCTAAATGTCCTTCTTCCTCAGTTTCCTCTTTGAAAATGTGGTCACAAGTAGTCATTTTCCATCTTGTGTTGGTTTCACCTTTCTCATAAGAGTTACCCACATCATGTGGTATCATTTTGTTAAATTCTGCAATCCACCAGTGTTTTAAGTGAAAAAACAGTCACTAACTGTTATATGTACTAGTACATATATAATATTGTTAGAAGATAGTGGTAAATGTAAGTCAGAAGACTGATCATTCTTATCCACCACAGCTGCTTTTAAATTTGACACTTCCCTTTTGAAACAGGAAGTATTATGACATGTGATAGGGTACCTGAATGATGTGTTTACCTTTATGTCAGAGACTTGAAATATTTGGGACTTAGTCATTGGCGAATTTGCATTTGAATGTCTGCCCTATTTCATTATTCCCTGAGCTCTGTACTAGTACTTTATTTGGAACATGACCTTATCAAGACCCCAAACCCACAGGTAAGATTATTTTAGTTTGATGAAGAAGGGAAAAAGAATGTATTTTACCTATCGAGTTGAATTTAATGGAAGAAACTTCAGGTAAAGTAGTCATGGAAAGTCTAGTTTTCCTATGTTGTATGTGAAACAGAGAAGTGTTTTATTTCAAGTGTGCAAGTAGGGTGACAAAACCATACTAAGGTCAAGCAGAAATGGATAATGAAATTCAAGATAAGAAACTTTAACTGAATGACTCAATTTTAGAATTTGATACTGATTGTAAGAGGCCAAGATATTTGATATTATTTAGCTGAGTCTTATGTGAGTGACTAGGATACATTTACGCTATACTTGGATTTACAAAGCTATTAGAATGCACTCAAAGTATCAGTTTGTCCTGTTTCACCTTTGAGGCAGATTTCATGTCTTCAGGATGACTTACATTTATACACACTTCCTGTATTATATTATCAGTGGGTAGCCTTGCAGGTATGGTAATGGTGTACAATATCCACTAGAATATAGTAGTTTCAAAGGAAAATGGATTATTTTTTACTTTGATTTGTTATAGTTTTGTACTAGTATGCTTGAATGTTATTTGCTTATGTGCAGGAGACATGAACAATTTTCAGTTAAATGGGCATGCATTCACACACGCACACACACACATGCATGTAGATGTACACACACACTCTCTCTCCAATTTTTAAATGGTCCATTTCACATCTAGGCATAAAGAGAGGTAACGAAGAACTTGGGGTTATGAATAAGTGGCAGGAGTGGCAAAAAACTTGAATGATAGATACATTAGTTTTTAGATCACTGCCCCCATGAATTTGTACACCCAGCACAGTTAGGGTGCCTCTTGTATGGGTCATTTCTGATAAACCAAAGTGAGGTTTTGATAAACGATTAGACCTAGTGCCTAGTGGTTGTAAGTTTGTTGATCTTTCTGCAGGACCCAGGTTTAATTTAGTCTAGAACAGCTGTGAGTAATTTGAGAATATATTCTTTTACTTTTAAAGCACCTAGTTAGTGCACCTCTTGCTACTTGCATTGAAAACAATGTGAAGGCAGAGCCATAGGAGTAAATGTCAGTGAAAATTTGTCTGTTGCAATGCACTTAACTGACTTTTAAAAATGACCAGTGATGACTAAAAGTCTTGTTGAAGGGTAAGTTTTCAACCATATTTTAGTGTCAAGAAATGGGTCCTATATCTGCCAATGGGAAGTAATGGTATAATATTTGAAATAATTTTCTGCAATATTTACTTTATAGATATTGTCCCATAGTGAGAGGGTGCTTTTTGTGGTACACTCTTAATAAGTAACTTGGACATCTTTCTCTTTTGTTTCAATTCACAAGGAAACTCTATCAGCCTATAGCACAGTTGCTGATGCTCATTGTTAATCAACCCAAGTGCATAGAGACAGTGCAATCTACCAAGTAAACAGTTAATTAGGGAAACTAACACCGTTCACTGGATAAGCTAAGAGCATTCTGTCTGTGTTTCAGATTAGAAGAGACTGACTGGCTACAGTAAGGGCCACTGTCTGTGACTGTGTGTGGGTGGGCCCCTCAGAACTGGTATGAACTGATCCATTGCTAGGCCACTTGAAGAAGATGGTGCATGCATGTATGTATACTAATCATGTTATATTGCATGTATTCGGATGACTATAGGTGATCTAAAGGCATGCCCATTTTACTATTTTCCTACAGTAGTTTTTCTGCTTTATGGAAGGTATAAGCATGCTTTAGTACATCTTTCTTTTTCAATTGATACCCATCTGCTGTTAATTCTGTTGTTATTTAAGTCAGAAATTTTGTTTGAAAATGTCTGTTAAAGTGATTTTTGGGGGAAGTGTTTCCTGGAGGCTGTACAAGTCTGGATTTCATCTGTGTAGGGTCATAAGCTTTGATGTGGACAATCCTGCTGTAATGTAAATTGTACATGTATATATCCTGTTTTGGGGTCATAAAAAAGCTGTTTCACTTTCATTTTGTGGCCGAATTTTGTATAGAATTTCATGAAGAGGTTGAAATTGATTTAGATTACTGAGGTTAGTTAGTGAAAGATTAGGCCACATGCACCTGCATGGACTGTGAATAGAAACTAGGCTTTGTTTATTGGTGTAAGATCAGGCTATAAAGATGTATAATATATATAGATATTCATGTTAATCTAATTAAAGATTATGATAGCTCAGTGGTACAAATCTGTAATGCTACCACACAGAGGATGGAAATTTGGTTCTTGTCTGTCAAATTACCCACGAAGACTTCCAATGACATACAGTATTGATTTGAGTTTTATGCACATTAAAAAGGTAAGTACCATGTAAGAACCGAGAGGCAGCTAGGCCAACAAAGTAGTTTTTATATGATTTGAAGCCAGTCATAATTAACAGTAGTGCCCCTCAGAGGAGCAGAAATAATACAACTTTGTGGCACTTGGTTAGTTCAGAAATCAATAATTCCAATGACTTGGTTGGATGAGGAGGTCTCTTAGGATGGTAAAACGTGAGTTGGCTGTTAAGAGTCTTATCACATCTGTCCCACATGCAGTACTGCAGTCCCATATATATATAAGTACATGTGGCATCCCAAAGATTAGATTTATAACACAGTATCTTATGGTTGGGTTAAAGTGAATGACTGGAATTACAAAAATCAGTGATAATTTTTGTATAGCACTCTGCCCTCTGTAATCTTATTAATATCATTTTTTAGGTCAACCAGGCATCTGGTTTGAGTTGATGCAATAGTAAATTAATCAGAAGAAATTTGCTTCTATTGCAGTTTCATAGAAACAAATTTTAGCCGTTAGCATTAGTTTTATGCTCAGGAGACCAGAGAGCTATTACGAATGATGGACCCAGTGAGCAAGAATCATGACTTTTCCTTCTCAGCTAAGGCCATCATGCAATGAAGCACACTCCATAAATCCTATACAGAGAAATTTTTTTCTTGCATGCAGGTTACATTGTAAGGAACAGTACACGGAATTTAACAGAATGTGAAACATGTCTAGTATATTTTCCAAGCTATTCTGTATTTTGATACAGGTTTTTTTGCTTTTTGATAGTTTTATTTGAGTAGGAAGACAATTTTGTCTTAGCCCATGAGTAAACCCAGGTGATATGGCTCATATTTCAGTTTGATGACACACCATTTGTCAGTGCTTTAAATATTTGGTGAAAATAGAGTTGGAAAGGCTACACAGTCTTTTTACAGTGCAGATAATCTTACATGTTTATATACAAGGTTGTGAGGTTGTGTACAGTCTGCGGTCTGTTGAGCAAGCAATAATTCCCCATCCCACAAATTAAGTTAACTCATGACTGATATAGTGTAGCAAAGAGAGTAGAAGAGGAGAAAAAATTCAAACTAGAATCATCAGTTTACGCTGTTTGATTGGGCCGGACTTGAAAAAAATATCAGCGGACGCTTTGAACACGTTCACATTATTCTGCAGTCACTAGTTCTACAACTTTTATTAGAATAAAAGCTGGTGTAACCCCCCCCTCTCCCCCCTCCCAGATATTCTAGACAAATTGATTAATTGGAATGTATGCTGTGTACTGTCTGACTTAATTGCTGTCAATTGTGATCAAATAATCACATCTATATCAGTCTGAAATCACCCAAAACGTGTGAATGCAACTGCAATGGGTATCATATTGCTGCTTTTTTGGGTTATCTTAAAGGTCTCTGGGGTCACTGTCCCTTCAATTATCACAGTTTGAGTAGGGCTGGTGTACAAAGACTGGCTCTGATGTGCTGTGAGGGATTTCCTTCCAGAAAATCAGTAAAAGGTGTTTGTATTGAGATTTAATACTGCACAAGTTAACTGTGGGAATTAAATTGCACAGTTTGAGTTGATCTAGCAGCAAGGAAGGGAAAACAGTGAAAGCAGCAAGTTGTTCTGGGTTTCTGTCTTGATATATTTAGCTTGAGATGCATTTGAAGTTTCAAAAAAAGAGAGAGAAAGAGAGGTAGCATCGCCTTACTTTGTCTGTGTGAAATCCTGCAGAGAGGTATTTATATCTAAGTTTCACATGGATTTATAAAATATTATATGGTAATATTTTAAGATGTGTAATTATTTTTAAATTCCACAGTCTATCAGAAAATAAAGCATTCTGCAGTCAGTTGAGGCTCCTGTAAGAGGTTTATAACTCCTACAGAAAGATGAAGTATCCATTTTTTCATCTTTTCTACTGGTTGCCATGTTCATCCCTATTAAACTTGCCTTTATTGTGTGGTTGATTGTTATTGTTGGCACAACAAACCACAATATATCACATACTAAAGTAATGGCACATTCACACAAATGTTACTGCTGCTCACCAGCTTTATGTAATTCAGGTTAATATCTGAAGTTGGTGAATTGTAGATTTCTTGTTGGATATTTATCCAAGAATACAGGTAGCTTTGAAGTGTTGTCTGATTGAGATAAGGATGTGTATGGGTCAGAGCTCAGTTTGATACTTCGGGGTTAACCAAAATAATCTCTGTGTAATCTTCAAAATAAGGTCATGACTTTATACTGTACCAACCTAGTGCACTTAGTATTTTCTTTTCAAGAGTAGTAGCACCTTGGCACTGTTTACATGTTGTCTATATTCTTTTCATTCATTTCCTTAAGAAGCACAGCTTGTATGTGCCCTCTCACCCACAATTAATTTTCTGAAATTTTATTTGTATGAGGTTATGGTATGCTATAAAATTTATTTTCTTTACTCGTTGCAGGAAACCCATCATGTGATGTAAACTGCAGTAGTTAGGATGTCCTTAGCCTGCCAACACTACCAAGAAAATGCATGGAAGGGAGGGGTGTGTTGCAATTGCTTTTTACCCCAAGCAGAGCACGAGAGACATCGCCCTCGGAGACCAACTCCAAAACAACGCCCCTCCCAGACCCCACCAGAAATCCCCTCTCCCACTGCCACCTCAACCAATGGTACATGCTCAGCACAGTTTCAACCAAATGGTGAACAATCTTCACTAACACAATCTAATGAAGGCACACCAGCCAATGTGTCACAGTCGGCAAGTTCGTTTTCACAACCCAAGCCTCCTCCCAGAGCAGTTAAAAAATTGTCTGTTGACATTGATTCTGCACAGACTAAGATGGTGAGTGGGACGGCCTCTGCTATTTCTCCTGTTCCTAAAGACAAGCCAGAGACACCAAAAAGACAAAAGCCAGTTCTTCCACAAAAACCCATTGGCGTGAAACCCAGTGTACCATCTGGCAAACCTAGTCCATCTTCCACTGGAAAACCTAGTCCTCCACAAAAACCTGTCAGAAAAGGCAGTGTAGGGGCAGGGGATACAGCAACTGGAAAGCCTATTCCAGTAAAAAGAGAAAAGGGGGATGGAATTAAAGTGGTGAAATCTGGTCCTGAGCTGTCAAGATTAAATACAGAGCAGTCAGAAATAGATGATGTCCTCTGTTCACTAGACCAGGCTTTAAAAGATGGAGAAAATGATGATGATGAGGTTTTTACTGACAAGTCACAAACCAAAAAACATTCCAACTCTGATCCAACTCCGTCTTCAACCAAGGCTGAAGACAAAAAAATTTATTCGATAGATGGTGATTACAGCTTGCCATGTGATGTGGCCAAAGCTGATACCAGTAGCAGCAACGAGAGTGAACATTACAAGATGCCTTCCGAAAGCACAGAAAATTCTCTGGATCAAGAAGGGGATGTGTCACCTAGGGTGAAAAAAATCATCAAAGTTAATGGTGCTAAAACTAAAGAACCCATATCACCAGCTAAAATATTACAAAAATTGTCAGCCAAAGGTCCACCAAAATCGGAAGCTGAGATACGACATCAGAAGGTTCCAATTAAACCCTTTAAGGTTGGTCAGGAATCAAAAGCTAACATTGCTCGTCCATATAAAGTTATAGAAGTTGCCCCTCCTCAGGAGGTCTTGCCCTACACTGTGGTTGATATATCTAACATGCCTATAGATAATGGAGTTGAGAGGGACATTAGTTTGTCCCCTCCGCCACCAAAAACTCCTCCACCTGGGGAATATGATAAACCGATAACGTCAAATGATGCTACTGGAGAAAAGAGCCCAAAAGCTAATCTGTTTGAGAAAGAGGGTACTAAAGTATTAACCACTTTTAAACCCACATCGCCCACACCAGAAAAGACTACTGCTGCTGCTGCTGAAGACGGTGTTACCACTTTGGCAAGTCCTGCAAAAATCCCCCTCAAACCACCTCNCTCTTAGTTTTATTACAACTTACAACAAAATGTTATTGACACTTGTATTGGACTACTGCGGTACCCTATAATTTATATGCTGGTCCTTCTCCTTCATGGTTTTGTTTGTAAAGCACAAATAGAAAACGTGATTTATGGTAGCTGAAAGATGCTCCCATTTTTGACAATGTAGATCTACTGGCACAACTTCACCTCTACTTCAGATCAAGGCCGTTTTCAAATTTATGTGTTTTTCAATTTTATATTCATCAATCAAGGTGACAACCTGAATGTTACTGTATGCAGGTATAAAGCAGCATCACTTCATCTGCACTGGCACTTAACCACTGAACAAGCTTGCTTCTCAAAGGATATAATATTTCAGTTTTTGCCTGATTTCAGGTTTTTAAACTTTGTTTTTTAACTTTTCAGGGATAATTGCACAACATCGTCAATTTTCAGCCCCCCCCCCCCTACAGATCACATTACTGCTCTCACCATGATACCAAATTGCTTGTCATGGGGTTTACAAAGAGTATGTTCACAATGAATATATTGTACTACATGTAGCTATTGCAGGGACTCCACGGGGACTCTCACTGAATGCAATCAGATTTACAGACTAACATGTGTATTCTTATAATCACCAACTTTTCAAATTCTATATTTTACTCAAGGCCTAGAGGAGGCATGTTAGACTTATTGCATTTAACAAGAGTCCCCGTCCCCGTATAGTAAGTACGCAGTAGCTAGTATGATAGATTCTTTGTGAATGCACCATAAGACTTGAGAATCCCATGTCTCAATTTTCCCTTACTATGTTCATGCATACAGTAGATTCCCCATAACTTATCTATCACCAATCATATTAACTAGTAACTGATTTTTTTCTTTGGTAGATGTATATGCTGAAATCAGTATGAACATCTTCCAACTTGAATTTATACCTGTAACTTGTGCAAAATTTTTTTGTCCCATAGTGTTCAAGCTATGTGGAGTGTTCTGTATATAATATAAGAATGATGTTGCATAATGTCCCATGGCACTTAAGAGAAAGGAAAGTGACAATCTAATTCATCAGCCTTAGGCAAATTTATAGACCGGAAGTATGTTCCTGAATCCATATTGCCACTAAATCTAGTAGACAAAGACTTCTTTGAGCAGGATTATATAACATTATTGGTAAATTTTTTAATTTTAAAGATTTATACATAACACATTTTAAATAAGTCATAATGGACAGCTTAAATCTACCACATTAATTATTGATTTAGTCAGCTAATAGTTATGACATATACATGTGTTCAGAAATTGGTTTCCTGTTGGGGCTCTTTGAAATGACACATAAAATCATTAAAATTTAAGATGTAAAAATAGAAATTATTAATTAGTATTAAGTAAGTTTAAAAAAGATGCACAGTTGAATTACAAATTGGAGTAGAAATGGGAAAAAGTAAAGAATCTTTTAAAAAACATCTTTCTGCTTTTAAATGTAAACTCCCTTGTTGCCTGGTTGAAAATTAGCAAACATGCTGGACATTGCTGGTTGATCCCTGTAAATATATATATCGTTCAGCATATGGAGATAAAAGCTGTCTTTATGTAGGTTATTAACTGCGTTAGCCTGTCTCCTGTCCAGACAGTAATTTGCCAGTGATTGATTAACATATGAATCACGCAAATTGACTGCATATGTAACCTTCCTGATATACTAGATAGAACATCCTTATAATAATGATTTTCCTTGGACTTTTGAAGTTTATTAAGTTTATACTGAAATTCAATATCCCTGCAGCATATGTCCAGAAATAAGTGCCCATTGGTCTGTTTTTATGCTTAAGCCTTATAAAGCTAAAGGTACATAAAATGCTAATGACATTTATTGTCTTGTTTTGTTCTTTGATTGCTCTTGTTATTATGCCATTGATATTGAATGCCAGCTGGTTCTATCTTATCACATCAGTGATCAATTTGTTCTTAAGTAGGAGTGCTAATACCAAAGCACTTATTATCGTGAAATTTCCAATAGTATTGATTTGCTTTGTTCTACTGTTTAATATAGTGTAATAAAGCTTTTAAGGTGGTATTTTATATGAATTAATTTCTTATTATTAGTATTTGGTTGTCTGAAACCAAGTTTAAAAAAAAGATAGATAAAATGAATTAATGTTGTTTTTATGGAAGTAAAAATTTAATAACTCTTCTTCTAAATTGTGATTTTTGAATAAAAGTGAGTAGCTTTTCTTATTTGACATTTCATAACACCAGAAGATGTCTGATGGAAAAGAAAGTTAAAAGTAAAATTTCATATGGTTATATATTTATTATAACAAATCCAAAGAAAATACCACCTAAATTAAGTGTTCTTGTAGCGATACATAAATCCATTTTGCCATATTATTTGATGTCAAGATTACAGTAGAATTAGAAAAGCATGGTGATTTTTTTCACCCCAAAGAAGAAAAAAGGCTGATTAAGACGACTATAATTTATGTTATTTTTATAAATCTATTTTATTAAAGTGTGGGTGCCAGCATTGAATGGCAGTCAATACTTTGACTCACAACTGAAAAAGTATCGACATGTGGTTCAGCTGACTTGCGCTAGTAATAGCAAAGTGGTTGCCATTGATCCAGTGACTCATTCTTCATCAACATATGTTTGGGCTCTATTGAATATTCATTTATCATGAGTTTAGTGGGGACTGGGGACAACATTATGGGTTAGCTGCAGTTGTGTTGTATTGAAAGGCTTCTTATATAGATTAGCAGGCTAGTAAGATACCTTGGAAAGGTAGGTTGATGAAGGAAAATTTTTATATAAAAGTAGTAGATGTTGAACATAACTGACATAGAATGTTGGTTTGAAGGGAAGTATTAGTCTTAAGAGGTGATGTGGCAAAGCATAAAGAATGACAAATGGCATGCATTTGAATTTTGAACACACATACCTGAAAAAGAATGACGTCATAATCCCTTTGTTTCTTTTAAGTGTCTTAATCATACGATAATAATGTAATTTTACATTCATTGTCTCAAGGATTATTGAAAACCATAGTCATTAGTGGTTTATCATGATATAGGATATAGGAGTACTCGCAACCATCAGTATTTTGAAAAATAATTTTGTCGTCTATGCATTCATGAGTCTGATACAGTAAGAGTTTTAGGCTCACCAGGGTCTTCTATAGTTTTACACGTTTGTTGTGATATATCACACTTCTAAATGTCCTTCTTCCTCAGTTTCCTCTTTGAAAATGTGGTCACAAGTAGTCATTTTCCATCTTGTGTTGGTTTCACCTTTCTCATAAGAGTTACCCACATCATGTGGTATCATTTTGTTAAATTCTGCAATCCACCAGTGTTTTAAGTGAAAAAACAGTCACTAACTGTTATACGTACTAGTACATATATATATTGTTAGAAGATAGTGGTAAATGTAAGTCAGAAGACTGATCATTCTTATCCACCACAGCTGCGTTTAAATTTGACACTTCCCTTTTGAAACAGGAAGTATTATGACATGTGATAGGGTACCTGAATGATGTGTTTACCTTTATGTCAGAGACCTGAAATATTTGGGACTTAGTCATTGGCGAATTTGCATTTGAATGTCTGCCCTATTTCATTATTTCCGAGCTCTGTACTAGTACTTTATTTGGAACATGACCTTATCAAGACCCCAAACCCACAGGTAAGATTATTTTAGTTTGATGAAGAAGGGAAAAAAGAATGTATATTACCTATCGAGTTGAATTTAATGGAAGAAACTTCAGGTAAAGTAGTCATGGAAAGTCTAGTTTTCTTATGTTGTATGTGAAACAGAGAAGTGTTTTATTTCAAGTGTGCAATTAGGGTGACAAAACCATACTAAGGTCAAGCAGAAATGGGTAATGAAATTCAAGATAAGAAACTTAAACTGAATGGCTCAATTTTAGAATTTGATACTGATTGTAAGAGGTCAAGATATTTGATATTATTTAGCTGAGTCTTATGTGAGTGACTAGGATACATTTAAGCTATACTTGGATTTACAAAGCTATTAGAATGCACTCAAAGTATCAGTTTGTCCTGTTTCACCTTTGAGGCAGATTTCATGTCTTCAGGATGACTTACACTTATACACACTTCCTGTATTATATTATCAGTGGGTAGCCTTGCAGGTATGGTAATGGTGTACAATATCCCCTAGAATATAGTACGTAGTTTCAAAGGAAAATGGATTTTTTTGCTTTGATTTGTTATAATTTTGTACTAGTATGCTTGAATGTTATTTGCTTATGTGCAGGAGACATGAACAATTTTCTGTTAAATGGGCACACATACACACACATACACATGCATGTACATGTACACACACACACTCTCTCCAGTTTTTATAGTGGTCCATTTCACATCTAGGCATAAAGAGAGGTAACGAAGAACTTGGGGTTATGAATAAGTGGCAGGAATGGCAAAAAACTTGAATGATAGATACATTTGTTTTTAGATCACTGCCCCCATGCATTTGTACACCCAGCACAGTTAGGGCGCCTCTTGTATGGGTCATTTCTGATAAACCAAAGTGAGGTTTTGATAAACGATTAGACCTAGTGCCTAGTGGTTGTAAGTTTGTTGATCTTTCTGCAGGACCCAGGTTTAATTTAGTCTAGAACAGCTGTGAGTAATTTGAGAATATATTCTTTTACTTTTAAAGCACCTAGTAAGTGCACCTCTTGCTACTTGCATTGAAAACAATGTGAAGACCGAGACATAAGAGTAAATGTCAGTGAAAATTTGTCTGTTGCAATGCACTTAAATGACTTTTAAAAATGACCAGTGATGACTATTAAGTCTTGTTGAAGGGTAAGTTTTCAGCCATATTTTAGTGTCAAGAAATGGGTCCTATATTTGCTAATGGGAAGTAATGGTATAATATTTGAAATAATTTTCTGCAATATTTACCTATAGATATTGTCCCATAGAAAGAGGGCGCTTTTTGTGGTACACTCTTAATAAGTAACTTGGACATCTTTCTCTTTTGTTTCAATTCACAAGGAAACTCTATCAGCCTATAGCACAGTTGCTGATGCTCATTGTTAATCAACCCAAGTGCATAGAGACAGTGCAATCTACCAAGTAAACAGTTAATTAGGGAAACTAACACCATTCACTGGATAAGCTGAGAGCATTCTGTCTGTGTTTCAGATTAGAAGAGACTGACTGGCTACAGTAAGGGCCACTGTCTGTGACTGTGTGTGGGTGGGCCCCTCAGAACTGGTATGAACTGATCCATTGCTAGGCCACTTGAAGAAGATGGTGCATGTATGTATGTATCATACATACTATGTATGTATACTAATCATGTTATATTGCATGTATTCGGATGACTATAGGTGATCTAAAGGCATGCCCATTTTACTATTTTCCTGCTTTATGGAAGGTATAAGCATGCTTTAGTACATCTTTCTTTTTCAATTGATACCCATCTGCTGTTAATTCTGTTGTTATTTAAGTCAGAAATTTTGTTTGAAAATGTCTGTCAAAGTGATTTTTGGGGGAAGTGTTTCCTGGAGGCTGTACAAGTCTTGATTTCATCTGTGTAGGGTCATAAGCTTTGATGTGGACAATCCTGCTGTAATGTAAATTGTACATATATCCTGTTTTGGGGTCATAAAAAAGCTGTTTCACTTTCATTTTGTGGCTGAATTTTGTATAGAATTTCATTAAGAGGTTGAAATTGATTTAGATTACTGAGGTTAGTTAGTGAAAGATTAGGCCACATGCACCTGCATGGACTGTGAATAGAAACTAGGCTTTGTTTATTGGTTAAGATCAGGCTATAAAGATGTATAATATATATATATATATATTCATGTTAATCTAATTAAAGATTATGATAGCTCAGTGGTACAAATCTGTAATGCTACCACACAGAGGATGGAAATTTGGTTCTTGTCTGTCAAATTACCCATGAAGACTTCCAATGACATACAGTATTGATTTGAGTTTTATGCACATTAAAAAGGTAAGTACCATGTAAGAACCGAGAGGCAGCTAGGCCAACAAAGTAGTTTTTATATGATTTGAAGCCAGTCATAATTAACAGTAGTGCCCCTCAGAGGAGCAGAAATAATACAACTTTGTGGCACTTGGTTAGTTCAGAAATCAATAATTCCAATGACTTGGTTGGATGAGGAGGTCTCTTAGGATGGTAAAACGTGAGTTGGCTGTTAAGAGTCTTATCACATCTGTCCCACATGCAGTACTGCAGTCCCATATATATATATATATATATATATATATATATATATATATATATATATATGTACATGTGGCATCCCAAAGATTAGATTTATAACACAGTATCTTATGATTGGGTTAAAGTGAATGACTGGAATTACAAAAATCAGTGATAATTTTTGTATAGCACTCTGCCCTCTGTAATCTTATTAATATCATTTTTTAGGTCAACCAGGCAGCTGGTTTGAGTTGATGCAATAGTAAATTAATCAGAAGAAATTTGCTTCTATTGCAGTTTCATAGAAACAAATTTTAGCCCTTAGCAATAGTTTTATGCTCAGGAGACCAGAGAGCTATTACGAATGATGGACCCAGTGAGCAAGAATCATGACTTTTCCTTCTCAGCTAGGGCCATCATGCAATGAAGCACACTCCATAAATCCTATACAGAGAAATTTTTTTCTTGCATGCAGGTTACATTGTAAGGAACAGTACACGGAATATAACAGAATGTGAAACATGTCTAGTATATTTTCCAAGCTATTCTGTATTTTGATACAGGTTTTTTGCTTTTTGATAGTTTTATTTGAGTAGGAAGACAATTTTGTCTTAGCCCATGAGTAAACCCAGGTGATATGGCTCATATTTCAGTTTGATGACACACCATTTGTCAGTGCTTTAAATATTTGGTGAAAATAGAGTTGGAAAGGCTACACAGTCTTTTTACAGTGCAGATAATCTTACATGTTTATATACAAGGTTGTGAGGTTGAGTACAGTCTGCGGTCTGTTGAGCAAGCAATAATTTCCTTATCCCACAAATTAAGTTAACTCATGACTGATATAGTGTAGCAAAGAGAGTAGAAGAGGAGAAAAAATTCAAACTAGAATCATGAGTTTACACTGTTTGATTGGGCCGGACTTGAAAAAAATATCAGCGGACGCTTTGAACACGTTCACATTATTCTGCAGTCACTAGTTCTACAACTTTTATTAGAATAAAAGCTGGTGTAACCCCCCCTTCTCCCCCCTCCCAGATATTCTAGACAAATTGATTAATTGGAATGTATGCTGTGTACTGTCTGACTTAATTGCTGTCAATTGTGATCAAATAATCACTATCTATATCAGTCTGAAATCACCCAAAACGTGTGAATGCAACTGCAATGGGTATCATATTGCTGCTTTTTTGGGTTATCTTAAAGGTCTCTGGGGTCACTGTCCCTTCAATTATCACAGTTTGAGAAGGGCTGGTGTACAAAGACTGGCTCTGATGTGCTGTGAGGGATTTCCTTCCAGAAAATCAGTAAAAGGTGTTTGTATTGAGATTTAATACTGCACAAGTTAACTGTGGGAATTAAATTGCACAGTTTGAGTTGATCTAGCAGCAAGGAAGGGAAAACAGTGAAAGCAGCAAGTTGTTCTGGGTTTCTGTCTTGATATATTTAGCTTGAGATGCATTTGAAGTTTCAAAGAAAGAGAGGTAGAATCGCCTTACTTTGTCTGTGTGAAATCCTGCAGAGAGGTATTTATATCTAAGTTTCACATGAATTTATAAAATATTATATGGTAATATTTTAAGATGTGTAATTATTTTTAAATTCCACAGTCTATCAGAAAATAAAGCATTCTGCAGTCAGATGAGGCTCCTGTAAGAGGTTTATAACTCCTACAGAAAGATGAAGTATCCATTTTTTCATCTTTTCTACTGGTTGCCATGTTCATCCCTATTAAACCTGCCTTTATTGTGTGGTTGATTGTTATTGTTGGCACAACAAGCCACAATATATCACATACTAAAGTAATGGCACATTCACACAAATGTTACTGCTGCTCACCAGCTTTATGTAATTCAGGTTAATATCTGAAGTTGGTGAATTGTAGATTTCTTGTTGGATATTTATCCAAGAATACAGGTAGCTTTGAAGTTTTGTCTGATTGAGATAAGGATGTGTATGGGTCAGAGCTCAGTTTGATACTTCGGGGTTAACCAAAATAATCTCTGTGTAATCTTCAAAATAAGGTCATGACTTTATACTGAACCAACCTAGTGCACTTAGTATTTTCTTTTCAAGAGTAGTAGCACCTTGGCACTGTTTACATGTTGTCTATATTCTTTTCATTCATTTCCTTAAGAAGCACAGCTTGTATGTGCCCTCTCACCCACAATTAATTTTCTGAAATTTTATTTGTATGAGGTTATGGTATGCTATAAAATTTATTTTCTTTACTCATTGCAGGAAACACATCATGTGATGTAAACTGCAGTAGTTAGGATGTCCTCAGCCTGCCAACACTACCAAGAAAATGCATGGAAGGGAGGGGTGTGTTGCAATTGCTTTTTACCCCAAGCAGAGCACGAGAGACATCGCCCTCGGAGACCAACTCCAAAACAACGCCCCTCCCAGACCCCACCAGAAATCCCCTCTCCAACTGCCACCACAACCAATGGTACATGCTCAGCACAGTTTCAACCAAATGGTGAACAATCTTCACTAACACAATCTAATGAAGGCACACCAGCCAATGTGTCACAGTCGGCAAGTTTGTTTTCACAACCCAAGCCTCCTCCCAGAGCAGTTAAAAAATTGTCTGTTGACATTGATTCTGCACAGACTAAGATGGTGAGTGGGACGGCCTCTGCTGTTTCTCCTGTTCCTAAAGACAAGCCAGAGACACCAAAAAGACAAAAACCAGTTCTTCCACAAAAACCCATTGGCGTGAAACCCAGTGTACCATCTGGCAAACCTAGTCCATCTTCCACTGGAAAACCTAGTCCTCCACAAAAACCTGTCAGAAAAGGCAGTGTAGGGGCAGGGGATACAGCAACTGGAAAGCCTATTCCAGTAAAAAGAGAAAAGGGGGATGGAATTAAAGTGGTGAAATCTGGTCCTGAGCTGTCAAGTTTGAATACAGAGCAGTCAGAAATAGATGATGTCCTCTGTTCACTAGACCAGGCTTTAAAAGATGGAGAAAATGATGATGAAGTTTTTACTGACAAGTCACAAACTAGAAAACATTCCAACTCTGATCCAACTCAATCTTCAACCAAGGCTGAAGACAAAAAAATTTATTCAATAGATGGTGATTACAGCTTGCCATGTGATGTGGCCAAAGCTGATACCAGTAGCAGCAACGAGAGTGAACATTACAAGATGCCATCTGAAAGCACAGAAAATTCTCTGGATCAAGAAGGGGATGTGTCACCTAGGGTGAAAAAAATCATCAAAGTTAATGGTGCTAAAACTAAAGAACCCATATCACCAGCTAAAATCTTACAAAAATTATCAGCCAAAGGTCCACCAAAATCGGAAGCTGAGATACGACATCAGAAGGTTCCAATTAAACCCTTTAAGGTTGGTCAGGAATCAAAAGCTAACATTGCTCGTCCGTATAAAGTTATAGAAGTTGCCCCTCCTCAGGAGGTCTTGCCCTACACTGTGGTTGATATATCTAACATGCCTATAGATAATGGAGTTGAGAGGGACATTAGTTTGTCCCCTCCGCCACCAAAAACTCCTCCACCTGGGGAATATGATAAACCGATAACGTCAAATGATGCTACTGGAGAAAAGAGCCCAAAAGCTAATCTGTTTGAGAAAGAAGGTACTAAAGTATTAACCACTTTTAAACCAACATCGCCCACACCAGAAAAGACTGCTGCTGCTGCTGCTGAAGACAATGTTACCACTTTGGCAAGTCCTGCAAAAATCCCCCTCAAACCACCACCTAGAAATAGAAATAAGAAACCCAAGTCCCCTTATGAACCTGTAGGGCTTGATTTGCCAGCAGCAGAGGAAAAAGTACAGACAGACTCCAGCACTGTATCTGCAGGAGATGGTGTTCAAGATAAAAGTGAGAGCCCCAAGAAACTAAAAGAAGAAAGGTCAAACAGTGTCAAATTTGCTTTGTCTGCTGACATGATTAATAAGGATGAACAGATAAATGGATTGACTAAAGCCTCGCTCGACAAAAATGAGAAAAGCAAAGCGGAATTTGAAAAGAAGGTTGCTCAGAGGCGCTCTTTTGGAAGGTCTACTGCCTTTGAAGCAAAATTATCAGCTGCTATTGAAAACACCCTGGATTTAGCTATTCGTAAAAAGTCGAAGTCTAGAAAACCAATCCCAAAAATGACTGGTGATAATGAACCAGATGTTACATGGGATGATGACAGGCCAATCGAGGAGGTTGATGAAGAAGATATGGACTACGGGGACTTGCACCAAAACCCAAAAGAATTAGCTCTGCTCAAGGAGAAGTTTGGTAAAGAAGAAAAACAAAGTAAATCATACTTCAAAATTGGATACAAGAAACTAATTCCTAGGTTTGGTAGAAAGGCCAGTAGTGAGGCTAAATTGAAAGAACAGGAGGAAAGCACAGAAGATGTGTCTGACATAAGTCCAGATAAAGATTCTGTGTCTGTTGAATCAGTTGATGAGAAGGAAAAAGATAGAGAACAGCATTATTCTTTGAAGTTGTTTGGGAGGAAAAAGAGTAAGGACAAAGAAGTTGCCAGTGAAAGTAGTAAGCAGAAGAAAGTTAAAGAGGGCAATCAGGATGAGGATGCTTCTCTCAAAGCAAGCAAAGAATCTTTGTTATCAGCAGAATCCAGAGAGAGTATATCAGAAGAAGGTTCTAAGGCAAAGGATAAAAAAGTAAAGGAGAAAGATAAAGACAAAGACAAACCTTCATTATTCACCAGGCTTGAAAATATACGCAAGTCTGGCAGGAAAGAGAACAAAAGGCAACAAGAACGAGAGAGATTAAAGCGCTCTATGGTGCATTATGCAGAGGGTAAAGAAATTCACCGAGATCAAAACAAAACAGAGGATCAGGAGAATGATGCGGAATCTTCAGAACCTGTTCCGCCTGGCTCCCCAGAAGAGACCTACAATAAACCGTGGGACTCGGCACAGACAAGGGACAGGCTTGCCAAAGTATTAAACAGGCCAAAGTCCTTGCCGCCCACAGAACATTTTCATCTCAAACTATTTAATTTAGACAAAGGGAAGGATAAAAAGGAGAAGAACATGCCACCTTCCAAAGAAATGCTTTTCAGGGTGAGAAACTTAGTTAATTTTGTTTCGCTTATTACAGATGTTGTGTAGTTATACTTTTGTAAATGGTTTTGTCAAGGTTATTTAAAGTAATGTGGGTTTCCATGGTATTTCTCTGAACTTTTGTGCTACTTGCATTTGGTCTTAGTAAACTGTTTATAGCTGATTGAAATATATTAGTAACTATCAGTAAGATAATATTAGTGTAAGCTAATTTAATTTATTTTTATTTGACTTTGATCTTCACAGAATATTATTGAGTAAAGAGCTTTCTCAGTGTGAATTACATTTCTCTTTTTCAGGCATCATCTGATGAAGTAGTCAGTGCCAAAAGCAGTCTGCAGCAGAGAAGTGGTACCCTGACTGAGGAAGCCATGACAGAAGAAGGAGAAAATATATATGATACAGTTGGTATGTCCTACATAATGTGTACTGTTTACCACTGTTTTTCAATAACAATAATGGTAATGGAAACTTTTGTGCAGTGCTATTCTAATAAGCCAATCTGAGCCAAAATTGTTTTGACCTAGTGATCTCTGAGCCTCGAGGGTCAAAGAATCCATTGGCTAAAGTAGGCTAATGATTGAACAATTTTGGCATGGAGCAGGTGTTAATGTCCCATGTGAATATCCTGCATTTCATACCAAATATATTATGATGATAATGTATAATCTTATTAATGTTAAGACTTTGCTTGATTGCTGGCATGATTGTATGTTTTAAAAATATAAACTGGACAGTGAAAAAAAAAACATCAAAACTTACCTATGTAAATTAATTCCTTTTAGGAAATGCTGCCTTTGATTTTGGAAAGCGTGCCAATTCTTTACAAATTCTCCCCCCTCCCCTGCCTGCCTTGCCTCCCCCAGATGATCTCAGCCCTGACCACCCAGACAAGGGGATATATGAGCCAGTCACTCCAACAGGGGTGGAAGGTGGAGACAGTGAAGGTGATGGAGATGACGAGGAAGACAGTTTCGAGCCAATTTATGACTCGGTGGGAATGAAGGCCCATGGTGATGTAAAGGACTTCTCACATACGTCCTCAGACTCGAGTCACACAACTTCGTCTTCTGCTAATGAGATGAAGCCACCTGCATTACCACCAGCCAATGTAGAGGACTACCTTGAACCTTCCAAGCTCTGGGACAATCCCAGCGAGGTGCCATTACCTTTCAGAAACGTGCCCGAAGAGGCGGAGGAAAGTGACTCCTATGACTTGGTGGAACAGCACAAATCTGGGGCCAGCTCTGACGCAGACGATCTCTCTCTGGCTGGTACATCTTCCACTGCTGGTTTAGTGTGTATGGCCAGCAGGTACGGTCATAGGCCTGAGCCTTTGCCTCGTCCAAGGTCTTCAAGGTCCCTGCCTGGTGGAGTTTCACCTAAACTATCTCGAGGGCCTTCCATTAAGAAGCCCAAACCCTTGGATCCTTATGTGACTATGATTAAAGAAGGCAGACATAAGCCACTAAAGGAGCAACCTTTCACAAGTTTTGTGGATGCTTTTTGCTATCAGGCTACTCTGACTCTGAATACCTTGACAAAGATCCACAAATTGTACAAAGAGAACTGGTTTCTGCCAGAGGACAAAATACCGACTGATCTGAGGTTTCAGGATCTGGACATAAAGGGAGATGGTCCTATTTGTCAGATAGGTGACTACAGCTTCTACTGTGTTAGGCTCCGAGACATGCGCTGCAGGACAGAATATGTGCTTTTGGTAAGTTAGTAGTGTTTGGACAGATATAGAATTGTGGCAGCAATTTTAGGGCCACTTAACTATTGTCTGATACTAACCATGCATCACTTGAGGGAGTTCCACACTCAGAATACTGGAGAGGAGGGGGCTAGTACTGTACTTTGTAGGATAAAACACACCATTCAACGTTAACACTTAAAAGATAAAAAAGGGGAGATGTAAGATGATGAATATTATGAATACTGTCCATTTAAAACAATATTTAGTGTTGTTGCTAAATGACTTCCAGTCAGATTTCCTTTTTACAAGACATAGATTATGATGAAAAGGAAAATTAACCAAGTTTTTATATTTTTAATGTTTATCTACTGTCAGCTGTGTGACTGCTTTATTTTAAGTTCAAGTGTGCAGTCATATACTTTTATGCTTTAATATTTTGTCTGTATATATTTTGAATTGTTTAAAATGCTATTTGTAGGTCACAGACAATCCAATCACAGATGATGATGATGTCACTTTACAGCATCCAAACATCTTTAACCTTGAACCACTGATGAAAGATAAGATAGATGTCAGCAGCCTTCCTTACACACTACACAAATACCACACATCATCTGAACAAGTCCACCTTAGACTCCTGAAATTCAGTTTTATAGAGACATTAAATCAGTACTTGACTCGCCTTCGATCTTCTTCAGATCTCGTTGATTTTGAGAAGCAGATGTGTTTTGTTTTGCTGCAGATTATCGATGGTTTTGGAGTGCTGCAAGATAATAAGAAAAATTTTGAACAAAAACTTGCCAACATTGTAGTGGTATCTCCACTAAGTTCCCAGGATAGGACCGTTGCCCTGATGCCAAAAATTCAAGACAATAGTTCTGAGGAATCTTTCACAGCATTTGAAAAATCTGAGGTGAAGGACATGTTAGTGTCTGTTTTGAACTTAGCATTTCCAGGATCAGATTGGGATTCGGTAATCCTCTTCACTCCTAAATATTCCCGGGGAGTTGAAAAATTATTCGACATCCTGAAAACCGATCCTGGGAGTTTCCTTTTACATTCTAAATATCTCCTAGAATTCCTATTGTTCGGACCAAATGAGGAGGACATGAGGGTTATACTTCAGATGGGTGGGAAGGAGTCTGTATATAGTGACGATACATTCCAGCTGTGGTTTGAGACAGAACGTGTCAAGGTTGTGAATCATTTAGCTCAGCAGACGGTGGCACAGGAACAGTACATCCGTGGACTTAGTCACGAGTATGCATGTAAAATATGCTTTTTGTGTGGTGATGCAGGAGCACAGTATATGACAGTTGCCAATATGATCTATGGATGATGTGGTGAAATCTCTTAATTTAATGTATTTTTTTGCATTTGAGCAGGAAATTTGAAATATCTTCATTGAACCTGTTGATGTGAAGAGTAGTAAAAATTGGATGTAATTACTAAAATCTGAAAAATATACAAGTTAACTGTCATTTATTGAATAAGTGGATTCTGTAATTAAATGAGTTCACAAGTGAAATGAATATAGATATTGATTTTTTTTCATCTGGTTAAATATTTGCCAAATTGTTTTGCAAGATTTGTTCTTTTAAAGGTCATTGAGAGATATGTTTGTTTTTACATTTTGCTTTTAAGATATTGTTGTACAAGTACCAATTTTTTCTTTTATGTTATAGGCAATTTTCTATGCCACTCAATTTTCCACAATAATAAATCGGGCCTACCCAACTACCATACTCGGCACTGAATGATCCTGAATTCACCGGTAGATCAGACCACACTACCCGTTTTCAAGGTGTGTGTCAGATCGCATTACACAGTATCACACACGACACCGCTCTTGCCTAGTACGCGATGTGATAGTGACGATTCTCAGCGGGGTTGAAAAGCATTACATCACCACTCAAAATTTGTTCAGGGTATGATACTGTGTAATGCGATCTGACACACACCTTGAAAACGGGTAGTGTGGTCTGATCTACCGGTGAATTCAGGATCATTCGGTGCCGAGTCTGGTAGTTGGGTAGGCCTGTAAATGATGCAGACATATTTTGCCCATTTGCTTGCCTTTTAATGCCGTAGAATATTTGGAATTTGACAAACATTTCTTAGCTTTAATATTCTCTTGATTTTTATTGCAGGAAACAACAGAGATGTTTCTGCCAGGGTTGCTTTTAATGACATATGTTATAGTTAAGTTGTTGTTATGGCTTATGTTATCTGATAGATTAACATTATTGATTGCAATTTGAATTATTCCGTTTTTGGTTGTGGGTATTGGCAGGAATGGAAGAGTATTAAAGACTGCATATGGGATAAATGGAAGCACAATATGCATTATGTTTCAATTTTAGATTACAATATTATCATATTAATATGTATATTTGTACATTTGCTGTGTAATTTTGTGCTATATGTATCTATGGTCATTTGTAAGTATTGTAAATGTTGGTTGTAAACACTGTTTCATATATCCAGGTGATTGTCACGTGAACACAAGATCTCTGCTCTACAATGTATGTATTTAATGTGGAGAGTTATATGGAATAATCACACATACACACACATATATAAAGGTTAAGTAGGATATGTATATTGGCTGATCATTTCAATCTATGAATCATCAGCAGTTTTGGTACAAAGCTTTACAGATGTAAAATTACATTGCTTTTAGTGCATGTATTTAAGCTTTCAGAGCAGTATTTTACTATAAATCTTGAATTTATCTTATATAGTCATTTTAGATATTTTGTCCCACCTTGTGTACATGTGCCATGGATGAAAGTTCATATTAAGTTTTAAAACAAAGGGTTGATTTTCCCCAAGAGATTTGGAGATAAGTTGAGTAGGAGATTCATTTTTTAGAAAGTCAAAGCTTCTTGTTGTAATTCTGGTGCTACATGTAAATCATATTACTGATTTTGGTGATGATTTAAAGTGATGATTATTGAATGATTTAAGTGCAAAGTTTTTGTTGTATTTTTTTAATTTTGCTTCAGCAGTTGGTCATCATTAGCAGTGCCTTTTTCCTAACTGGTGTTTTAATGTGGTGCTAATAGATAAAGCATCTTCTTGAAATCAAGCACAGTGTGTGCTGCGATCTTTTCCTTTCCTCTGGAAGCTGGTTGCTTCTTTTGAAATAAACAGGTGCTTCCATCATAAATACTTCTTGTTTTGTTCATGAATTACATGAAATCTTTTGCTCTTACCTTAGATGGGAATTTATATATTTAAGGGATGAAGATGTTTTTTGTTTTTTTTCATGTTAATCTAGTTTTGAAAATGGGTCATGGGGTGAGGTGCTTAATAAGATGATGTGAATGTTTGATCACATCTTTTTGATATGTTTGGAATCTTGCAAACTAAATTTTTTAATCTGGGTGTTAAACACCTTCATCAAATGTGTATAAATATCGATTTTTTTCTGAGATTTAAATTGTTTACTAATTCAACATGCCAATGAGTAAATCTATGCATATATCTGTTTTTTGACAGCTGTTGCCATTTTTCAAGCATCCAGGTGTTTATTTTGTTGGTTTGTCAAAAAAGATGAAACTAATTTGCAGAGTTGAATTTTAACTGTCACTTGTGCTGCACAAGATTTAATTCAGTTTAAAGCATCATACCTAGACAAAATGATTTAAATGCTAACAGCCAACATGAAAGTCCAATCAATTCTTGTTTATTTGTCTTTGTAGAAAAAAATGAAGGCCACCAAAATTCTCATTTCTATGAAGATGAGTTGGAAATCTGATATTTTACCTTTGCACTGCCCTCATTTGTGAGATAATTGAGATAAGATAAACACACATGTCATTTTGAGCATTCCTGAGGATAAGGACCTTCCAGAAAAAAGGCTGCTGTCCATATTTTTTAGATCATAGATAAACCTGCAAGAACAACGAATTCCTGCAGGACAGAAAATATGCAGCTATTTTTTTTTTCTCAAAAATATAGATAAAAAGTAGGGGGAGGAGAAGGGGGGGAAAAAAGTCCCTGAGAATTTCACTTGCCAATATGATGTTGATTAGTAAGAGCTCTCCTGCTGGCTTCAATTCCCAGAGTACAATTGTGGAACTCCACCTATTAGGGGCCCAGTTGGCTTCAGAAAGTTTGGCAGGCAGCAAGTACAGCCCAGGTAGGTCTGGATTTCCCACTGAGGCATATAAATATTGTGTATTTATATGGCTCAGGAATATTTAAAGTAAATTCCTTGTGATATTAAAGTAAATTCCAATACATTCACATGACGGTAAGTCAAATAAACCCAGAAGTAATTAAGCAGTTGCTTAAACTCTACGGTTAATTGATTCTAGGCTACCATGATTCATATATCAACTCTGCCTATGTTGTAGGTTCAAACACTTCTATATGGCCTAGCTGTTTTATTTGCTCATCACTGCACTATGGTGACCTCAGAAAAATATTTTTGAAAAAAAGATCACTTACAGCTGTGTAGGATTTGGTTTTCCTCAAAAGTTTGTGTGATATGGCCAGCTTGTAAAATGAGTTTCCAAAAATGACCTGCTCAGGTAATAAAATTGGGTCTCATGTCCAACAGTTAAACATTTTGGAATCTTGCATCTCTCACTTTATTTAGGAAATGTCTTCATCGAACAAAAAAATGCATCCACAGCGCCATGTGCTTGCAGCTAAAGAAGCAAGAATGAAAAATGAAGGAATGATAATGGCAAAAGAAAAAGAAATAAAAAGTGGGATTTGGCCTTAATTGCATTATACGGCTAGGAAATAGGTGTATTATTAGCACACACACACCTATAAATCTATGCTGATGCTTATCTTCAGGGGAGAGTTGCTCCAGCTTTTATATGGTGTACAGTAGCATTGGCTTTGAATCATATTCACATTGGGAGGAAAATAAGGAACAGTTCTTACCTTATATAATTGTTATACCTGTGGTTTATTCATTTATAATTTAATTTACTTTGAATGTATTTATTTATTACTTTAATTTTTTTCATTACATTTTAATTTACATATTATTATGACAATTAATTTAGTTGTTTGAGCAAACTAATATGTCTAAGCAACTTTTGGTGGTAGACTGCAACATACCAGGAAATGTAGGTCAATAGCACACCTTCAAAAGTTTGTTTTTGTAGTCTAGGTGGATATTACCTATAAACATCTGTTGCAAGGACATAACATTAACATTGGGGCATTTTAATAATAGTTCTAGGGAATTTTTTTTAAATAAGGTTTACTCGATCTTATCATACATGCCCTTTTAGTCAAATAAGTATTTAATTGATATAGTCCTTTTGTCATAGATAAAATACAATGGCTACAGAAACAGAAGAAGACTGGAAGAAAAAGTTCACAGAAAAGCAACTGGCTAAGTACAGGGCTCTTTTCAACTTATATGACATCAACAAAGATGGAACTGTAAGCGTGAAGGAGTTGGCAGCAGTTTCTAAAAAATTTGGATATAATCTGGATAAACAGCAAATTGAGGTTAAATAGCAGTTTTATATTCATTTTTTATTGAAATGGCTCTTTTTTATTACATCCTCTTCTTCAATTTAGAATTTGGTGAATAATTACCTGGTAATTGCCTAATAATTCCTGAAAAAAGTTTTATTTTATTCTCTTATTTGACTACAGTGTATAATGCAAGCTATTGCCAGAAAAAGAATTCATATTTTTGGTACATTTCACCATGTCTCTACTACTTTCATTCAGTCCTATATTTTTATATGTATAAATATGTTTCTCTTCTAAGGCAATAATCCAGAGATGGGATGGAGACAAAAAAGGCTGCTTAAATTTTCAAGAATTCATCAATGCCATGCCAGGGAATGCTATCCACATACCCAGAGATGAGCACAAGTAGGTTGAGGTTGTAGCAATTGTCCGAAGGTTCAATAGTCTGAAGGTTCATTGGTCCAAATGTTCATTATGGAACCTTCGGAACATTGAACCCTTGAGTAAAAATCTGATGAAAATGTTATGATTTTTCGGCCAATGAACCTTGGACTATCGAGACAACACCAGTAGGTTTTGTCCAGTATATACCTGGTCCAGCTGGTCCAGTAACTTCATTTGGTAAATTTAACTTTGAAATGTATACAAAATTTTTCAACATGGTTGCATGTGCATCTCTCTTGTTCAAAGGTTCATGAGCCTCAAGGTTCTACAGCAAGTGCTTTCAGAAAAATTATTAGAAAAACAGTAATGACTTCTTACCAGTAGTTGATTCTTGTGCAAAATGTCATAAATATAGCTATCAGACCAATGGGTTTCTGAACAGTTAACCTTTAGACCATCAAAATGTTAGACCAATTAGCCTCTGAACTCTCAGCCAGGGCACGCCATATGTCACAAAGCTAAAGAAATTAAACAGTATTACTTAAAGGGAAGATTTTGTGTTTTTTTATTATGAAAGAATGTATAACAATCTTAACAATGTATAGAGGAAAAAAGATGAAATTTTGAAATGTGTATTTTAACCAGGAGAGCTGAACTGAGGATTCACTTCAGGGAGTTTGACAAAAGTGGCTCTGGGTTTATTTCTGAACAAGGTAGGAACTGTAGCCCTCCATTAAAACACAATGATCTATTATATCTGTCTCAAAGTCTATCACATTGACTGCGGTAACTGGTGCCACATACTTCAGCACAATAATGGAACACACTGAACACTGCTTTTCATTTTTTAGGAAGCCATTGCAAGGATCTGTAAGCATGCTCATTGGTTTTTTACTTGTAAAAAAAACTAAAAAGAGAATTTTCATGCTTCTGACAATTGCTTTCTTACAGAGGCAACAGATGTGTTGAGCAAAGAACTTGCCTTTCCTCACTACAAGTCAAAAGCATACATGAAGTTCTTTGACAAAAACAAGGATGGAAAGCTAAACATTGATGAATTTGCTGATTTTTATGAAAAAGTAGAGGAAAAGTATGTTTGTTTTTCTTAATGGCTACATAAACCTTATTTAAACAAACAGAATACATTGTGAGTATTAAAAATTGTTCTAAATCAAATTTTTATTGCTTTAATGTGGATGATTGATTTTTTTCTTTTGAACGACTAGAAGTACATTTTACATTGCCTAAAGACAAATTGATGTATAACGGGGAGAGAGAGAGAGAGAGAGAGAGAGGTGAATTGAATTCATAGACTTGTTCCCACATGGAGTACGTTTGTTATTCAGGAAAGGAGAGCTCATAAGGATTTTCAAAGAATTTGATGCAAATGGTGATGGATATGTAGATATATATGAAGCACAAGAGGTAAACTTTGCTTACCACTTAGTTCAATGGGCTTTCTTTTTTTCTTTTCTTTTTTTTTTTTTTTTTTGAATAGTAAGAATAAATTGACTTGAATTAACTAACCTTCTCCTTATTGACTTTCAAAACCAAAAATTCCACAATGCATAACAACATAAATCTGGAGCATGATTTGATTTGTATTTCTTTCAGATCATGAGACAATTTGACATCGCAGATGATGAAATAGAGAAAATGGTACTTGAAAATGACAAGGATGGAGACAAAAAACTCAACTGGGATGAATTTGTCCATTTTTGGGGAACTGACTAACCACTTAAGTTTTAAGTGCTTTTTGTTATATCATTCACAGCAAAAATACTGAAACCTGGCTTACTATATTACAATTTGACTCATGATTTTTCCCCCAAGTTTTATTTCAAATAATTTACCAGAATAAACACAATCACTCTTATGTGTATCCTCAGTTTTTCAGTTTTATTGCACAACGTTTGAAGTTGACAAGTATCACAAAGGTGCATTTATCAGATGCCACAAGCTCCAACTTCATAACCACATAGTGCTAACTGAAAAAAGATTTTTCACCTGATGAAGCTGAGCACTTTCAAGTAAAAAATATCAATTTCTTACTGTCTTACGTTGTCAATGACCTCATATTATCGATTTCTTACTTTCTCTATGATTAATCTAGTAAAGTTTACATTCAACACAACTATACTTTGCCTGGTGTAAATATTCACATACATGTAAGTCAATCGTTGTCAAGGCTCCCCTCCATGTAACACCATCACCATGGGAAACGATGACAGAGCCAATATTGCCACCACAAAGAACAACATGAACACCACAGCTAGCTCAGTTTTATAACTGTTCCAGCTCAGCTGCTGCTGGTACTCCAGGTCAAGCCCCGGGTTCCATCTTCTACGAGGAAGGGGCATGTGTTTAAGTCTCAGTTTCCTGCCTTCTTTTAGTCGACACTTATAGTCCTCTGGGAAAGTGGTTTTGATTTGTCTCTCTAGATCTGGAATTCACAAAAAAATAATATTTCAAAATAAATCAGAAGAGATGCACTGGTTTTTTATATATACAGATAACATTATTAAATGCACTTTTTTTTGCATTTCTCACCTACCAGAGAAGATGCTGAATGATCAGTCAATAATTGTAAGGCTAATCATTCAAACTCTGTCAATTAATCCATGACCATATAAATCCAACTTCCACCTAAGTTGAAAACTTGGCCTGGGGGAGAGGTGACAATTTTATGATGATCACTGATATGATCCAGTCTGGGAATCATGCCTAAAACCTCCTACGCTACAAAGAAGCACTTTACCAGTTAGTCATCAAGTACGGCAATGTCTACGTACCAAATAAAATTAGAGTTAAATATGAAGTTTTTTTTATTCAAATATGCTTAAGAAACTAATTTAATAGGACACTTATACAGTACCTTCATGTAAAATGCATTTCTTGATTTCAGTTCTACACAATGGGCACACAGTGTCTGTGGAACTGGAGTTGGCGATCTGACGCAGACAGCTCTCGCA